GTCCTTGTGGGTCGGCGACGACTTTTCCAAGTCCTGCGCAACAAGGTTGAGCAGAGCAGAAATCGTCAGTTGCAGAGTGGGGCCTTTATGGCCATGCTTCTGGATTCGTACTTCGTTCAGAGACCGGACCAACTGGTAACCTGGTTCAGGTGTTTTGCTTTTAAGACTTGTTCTCGTTTTGCGTTGTCTTTCACACGAGTCGGAAGACACAACGTCAGGAAGGGGCAGCCATGGTGGCTGCGGCATGATAGTCCGGAGCTAGAGGCAGATGCGGAAACGACAAACATTAACAACAAGCCGCGGCAGTTTCACTACGCTGCCAGCAATGATTCGAAGCTGTCAGTCTCGATGGAGTCGCTTGCCACCCCGCCATCGCTGATGCCCGAGATGGACATGGAGTCAAGACCTGACTTCGTCAGGGCCAAGGTCGCTCAGGTCTCGCAAGACGGGAGCGTTTTCTGGGTCCAGCCCGAGTTCAGCAATCAGTCTATCAGGGTGGATCGGAAGCAGCAGGAAGCTTGGCCGGACTTCAGAACCGACTTGAGGATTCAGAATGCTTCGGGCTTCGGGGTCAGTGCGTTCACGTTTCTTTGTTCCTGAAAGACGAGCACTTGCAGGTGATCCCTTGGCCGCAGCTGCTCGAGGTGCCTTTTCCACTTGCCCAAAAAGTGCGTTCTCGTCTTCTCCGCTTGTCTTGCCGCATTTGCTGCTGCATGCTCGTCTTCTTGTAGGTGGGCCGGAAGAACCTGCGCTGCATAGATTGGAAGAAGCAGTATGGCGAGCTCTGGACCGAGAACGCTGGGGCCGCCGGCTTCAAGCTTCCTGGCGAAACCAGAGCTTTTCAGGCAGGATTCGCCCCAGTGTGGACAGAGAGACAGAAACGAAGCAACGACGACCAAGGCTTTCCCGGCCCGTGGGGCGGGGTGAGACCATCGACTTCTTCGTCTCCCACTCTTGGAGCGACAGTGGCACTCGAAAATTTCGAGCGCTCAGCTACGTCGCCGAGGAGTTTTACGTACGGCACGGCCGGCACCCAACCTTCTGGGTGGATAAGTATCTTGGCTGCGTGCTTGCGACGAGGTGGACGTGGGATCAGTCTGAGTGCCAAGAACGGAGACCCGTAGAAGATTCTGAATCCCATGGATGACGGCGAGCGAAGCATGTGAGCCCTTTCAGGATAGTAGGCTTCGCAGGTCGAAGGCAAGGGGGCAAGAACTACACTGGTGATCACAACAGCAGCGAAGGAGGTCGGGAGTGAGGATTCTTCGTAGTCTCCCGCGAAGCAAAGGCAAAGACCCCATCCCACCTGCGGCAGTGCGAGGGCATGAAGAGAGGGGCGTCCTCGAACTAGACCGAACCAGAGTCCGGCTTGTGACTGAAAGCCGAAGCTTCAAGAAGCTCATTGGAAGCAGAGAAACACCGGGCGAATGTGCACGTGTCACTTGCGCCCACCGCCACAGGCGCGAATCACGCAGTTGCTAGTTCAGATCCTGGCCAAATTCCTCGATGTCCACAGCAGGCTTAGCCTACAGCTCAGGTTCTGCATCGATCAGACCAGCGTCGAGGACGGTCTGCGAGTCCTGCCGGTGAATGTCATGGCCTGCAGCGGCTGGGACGAAAAAATTGGAAGTGGGCGGTCTCAAGCTATGTCAAGACTATACCACCCGAGGCAAAGTCTTGGTTCTGTGCGGAAATACATACCCATCACGCCTTTGGTGTGCATGGGAGCTTTGTGTCCTCCTGTCCTTCATGCTTCTCGGCCTGGGACAGGAAAAATCCAGTGCAGTGACTCGGCTCAATCTGAACTGAGGTCTTTGCAGACCGCCCTCACACGGCTGGTGGCACCTGGGATGGAAAGTGTTACAGCAGTGATCCGCTTGCGAAACCCGACGGAAAAAGCGAGCTCGTCTCAAGCTCAGGTCTTCCCATTCAGCCACAAATCCCTGCAGAAGCTTGCTCGCTTCGTATCTTGGTTTTCACGAGTCCTTCGTAAACATGCTCAGTATAGTTGCGCAGAAGCCGAGGATTTGATGAATGCGCGATGCTACGATCCAAACGAGGCCACGCAGAATGTCGTATGCTCTGTTCGATAGCAAAACGGCGGAGCGCAGACACAGCTTGATCCGTGCTGCCATCTAGGAGATTATAAAGCCTAAACGCTAACCCTAGATCCTCCACCAAGGCACACGCAACGGACCCACGAGAAGCTCAATCAACCGTCATGTCACAGACCCCAAACCCATCTCCCTAAAATTCCCCTTATGCAAGATCCATAGTTAACCGCGTAGGAAAGCCCATAGTGGGCAACCTCAATCCATAGCACGAGAGAATGAAAGTGGTCTAACCAAAAAGAATACACATTAGTGTAGGAGTAAGGTAGGAAGCAATCATCATACTGTCTTCGAAACAGTATGATGATTGAATGTTGTTCTTCCGTGGATGATATAAATCCTGCATTACCCCATAATAAGGAATATGCCATAAATCCCATAGTTTAGGGTCCATGAGGTAATGCAGGATTTATATTATCAACCGTTGCACTCTCTCTTCCTTTTTTTTTGAGTCGGTATTGTTTTCGTCTCTTCTCATTTTCACCGAATATCTCCTAATTGCTTTTCATACGCTTGCAACCTCATCAAGAGCTCCTTGAATCCCAGTGTCACAGTGAAAATTAGTTCATCCTTGCCATACTACGGATATTATGATACGTCCATCTCGATAACCTACTGCCGTCTGCTTCTTCCTCCTGGGCAGTGTTAGATGCATTGGATAAAACGTTCTCTTGTGTCATCGCCCTCTCATGTAACACGTCATTTGTGATCCAATCTTGTCAACCATAATATCGAGGCTGTCAAGCCGTAATGTATCAGTCATACTCATAATGTCTTTGATATTTTCTTGAGGAGTTGATTTCTCAAGACTTATCTCGAAGGATTTCAATAAGTAGTCCTTCCTTGTGCCAACATGGCCATCTCATCTTCCAATAGGAACTGATGCAGGTAATGGCACTATCAATATCGGCTTTAGGTTTCTGGGGTTTGGGGTTGCGGTTCCGGTGTTCCTTCATCATCGGCAAGCTTGCAAGGGACTTGCATGTTTAATAGTCTGCATATTTCCCGTTTCTGCATTTCGTACTTTGCACTAACTTCTGCTTGCGATTAGTCGTTGAGTTTGCTTATTTTTATTCAGTTCTGAATTTGGGTGCAAGGTATGATGAAATGCGCTTCGCATCATTAGTGTCTTACATGCAGCAAAAACTTTCTCCGACAGCCTACCATTTGCCTGTCCGTAGCCCTGCCCTAGACCAGGCCCTGTCGTAGGCCCGCCCCTGTCAATTTTCAACCTTAGCTACAGAGTGTCTCAGCATTCTTCGCATAATTCGCCCTGCATTGCTCTCTCCTCTCTTCGCGGTTCATGATACTAATGCTTGTTCTGCCTTTTTGGGGTTCAGTATAATGATTAGAGTAAAGTGGCCCCAAAACCCTACCCCAATAATCAAGGCCCCTATATTCGGTTAGAGAGTGAATCTAAGTGGTGGCGGGCCCTAAAAGAATGTGCCCTACAGCGGTCCAGGCCAGCAAAGGCGATTGATACCTCGCATTGTGAAAGGCTGCCCTAGATTCCTAGATTCCTAGATGAGGATCTAAGTTGTGCCGCAGTTCACGTTTTGGCTTTTGCACATCCAGGGCTCACTTTCGATTCGCCATCCTCGTGTGCACTGCGACCTTGCCAGGAGCTGCGACTTCGCCGGGTTATTTCCGCGATCGGGCAGCTGAGCTTCGAGCTTTTCGGATTGGCACCGGTAAGGCTTTGACATTTTTCCGTGTCGCGCGTGTCGGGAAACATTCCATTTTTGATACGGCCTCGTGGATGCAAAGGGCTGGAGGCTGGAGGAGTCCTTTCGTTGCTCGGAGCTGCCTCGCATCTCTTGCCCAAGGAACAAAATCCAAGCGCTCGGGCAGCTGATCTTGGACCGCGAGGCGAGCTGAATCTTCGGCTGTCCATGTCAGGCACATGTCAACAAAGGTGGTCTGAGGAGAACGCTTTATTCAGTGGTGATCTGACCATGAAGTTCCTTCTTGCGACGATACTGTCGGTTTCATGGGGTGCCCCTAAGTCCCAAAACTTCCAATTCCAATGCCAGACGGGCCTGGCATCCGGACTTCTGATGCAGGGAGGCTGCTCGTCTGGCGGTGTTTTATTTTGTTGGGTCTGTGTCTCTCTGCTCTAGACTCTAGGCGCTTCCGGATAAAAAACTGAGGAAGTGGCTCCTGGAGCGACACGGATCCAGAGGTGGAAGAAGACCGAAACGCTCTTCCTGACCTCGAGGTTGTGGACGAAGCTTCAATGGAAGACTGCACCAGCAGTTTGTGCCCGTCCCCAGCAGAGGATACCTTTCTCCGGCAATTGGAGCAAGGCGACTATCTGCGACAGTTGGAAGCACCTCTCGAGGAGGTGGCTTTTTGAGGAGAGCGGTCTGCTTCGCCTGCCGTCGCAGCTAAAGCAGAGTGCCACGTCCCGTCTCAAACGAGTCGCGACTTGGAACCCACAAGTTTGGCAGACACCAGACTTAGTCTGGCGTTGCATGGTAAATAGGCACCGATGTTTGTTTGGAGCATCTATCGGCTGTACAGTCGAGCATTTTGAGCCTACAGACCGACCCGACCGCCCGCAAGCACCGCCCCAAAAAAGGCGATTCCGGCATGCCAGGAGCTTTTTTGGACTTCAGCTGGATCCTTTTTTGAACCCTGTCGCAGGTGGCAGAGCTATGTCGAAGAGCTGAGAGGGGCGACTTAATCTCCTTTGAGATCCCGGACGATAGCTAGCGAGATGCACAAGAGGTCGTTGCGGCGATCCTCTGCAAAACTAGTATAGACACGCTGACAAAGACTCGGGCGTCGAGCTAAAGCTCAAAAGGCGGCCCGGCGGCCGGAGCGGTTTGAGCTCTTCCTCTTCTGCACACCAGGGCATGGCGGCATGGCCCCATGCCCGCCTCGGAGGCGCAGCCTCGGCCTCGCTCCTGCGGCCCTCGAAGGAAGATGCTGGCACAGGCGCGGCGGTGTCCGGTCCGGTTCTTCTAGGGCTGCCATGGGGCTGCTCAGATGCGCTGTTCAGACCGCGCCAGTGTGCCACGACGCATCACGTATAGCAGCCGACGTAGAAGGCTGTGTTTCAGACTCTCACGGCACGTGCACAGCGGAGCAGAACACAAAGTAGCGCTCGCTGAAGTTTGGGGCACACTCCTACGGTTGATGCCTCAAAGCCCGCATCACCCCTAATTTTGAGTTGCACTGTAATTACATGGGGATGCAACATTGAAATTGAGGATTGCGGATAGCACGACATGAGATTTGTGCGATGTCGTAGGTCATGCAGGATTCTTGGCATCAACAATAGTTGCCTAAATCCCAAACTCAGAACCCTAGAGCCCCAAAGCTCGAAAGCCTTGAGACTGACTTGGTGCTCTTCGTGCCAGGGATCGCGCCCGAAGAAGCCCGGGCTTGGCCCTTTGCATCAGACGGCAAGCCAACTGCCATGATTGTTCTGAGATGTTCTGGGTAAATCGCTCTACCGTGCCAGAAGTCCGGCAGACTCCTTGCGGCCCTCTTAATGTCGTGCGGTGCGAATTTCGCAGGCTTGCACAGCGGAGTAGAAGGGGACGCACCGTGAAGCGCAGCTGCTGGCTCCTAGGAAGCTCCATAAGCAAAGAGTCCACAGAGCTGAGAGTAGTCTTCAGTTCCCGGCTGTCGGGTGACGTTGCTAACTTCACCACCGAGAATAAGAGGCTTCCATGTTTGCGTTTTGCACTCGGCCATCCCATGCTGGATACCGAGGACGCTTCCTGGGGCGGTCGGGGGGGGGAAGCGATCCCTGCTCGTTTCGCTGTTCTGACAGGACGAAGATGACCGAGCATATTTTGAGTTCGAGGTCCAGGAGAGGTGGATCACGAGCTTACCGGCCTTGGTCGGGCTTACGCGACTCGGTGTTCTGAAACTTCGGTCCCACTCATAGACGTGCCATGCCCGATGGGCCGATATGCATCACAAGGGCCACTTGAACGACTTGGGGCTGTCAAGAATTGCCTTCATTGCAGGGTTTTTTGCATTCCAAGGATCCTGAGCCTCTTCAATGTCTGGTTTGCCGTGGAGGCTTTTGGCCTCCGAAGGATTCCGCTGATGGACCGGCCCAGCTTCAGGGCTTTAGTAAGGACAAGAGTATTGCTGACGTTACTGGTGAGGATCAAGTTCCGTCGAAGCTTTCCCAAAGTGCCAAAGCGATGCGAGCACAAGCAGCAGGAAGCTGCCATCGCGAACTTGCTCGTGGCTTGAGCCTTGGCCACTGCAGGTGGACGCGCCTTTGAGTGTTTCTCAACATGGCGTGTCCTCCGAAAACAGAGCTGTCCAACAGTCTTGCCGAGCCAATCCCTGAACATCGCAGAAGTATATAACCTTGTTCGCTTGACCTAAGGCTCTCATCCACAACGGCTATGTCATCGCTTGCCGAGGCCATTCGTTTGCTGGAAGGGCCAAGTGTGGGCGAAGAAATTGTGGCCATCTGCGGTTTCACACCTTGATCTCTGGAGCCTTCAATTTCCGAAGCATGCAAGGTTCGACATGCGGTTGTTGAAGCATCTTCTTGAACTCTGTGTGCAGTCATCTTCGGAGCTGAGAAGTTCTGGAAGCTCTCTTGCGCAACCTGGCTCCACATGGTGTTTTGGGCCACAGTTTTGGGAGAGCGTCAAGGGCACTCACGTTCAACAGTGGCACCACATGACATCGGGAGAACAGTCCCTAAAGGGAGGCCACAAGGTTTTCTCAGGATTGCAACTAGATGCATGAAGTGGATATCCACGTTCTGTGCACGTGGTAATTATCATACTTGTGGAGTCGTGCATGGTGTCTTTCGGAAAATAATGAGCCGCTCTCTTTGCTAGCTGCTTTGGGTTCCCAGTTACGCTTCACCTCTTACTGGCAATTGCTTTTATGCGTGCTCACTTTGAGGGTCTTGCCTCCATCGCCGCCATCTTCTAGGGCCTCGGAGTAGACTTTACTCTGGCTTCTTATCGCAGTGGCCCCCCGAGTATATTGGGGGCCAGAAGGTGCTGATGGTAGTCAGCTGACTGCCAAGAATCGTCGGCTGCTGCATGATTCGCAGTATGACCACAGGAAGGCCAAGACGCAGTGGGACATTCCGCTCCGAGCAATGTGGTTGGAGTTTTGGGCATCCGCTCAGGTCCGGGTAGAAGTCTCCCTGAGCTTCGTGAAGCTGGCAGGCCACTTGGGCCGCTTTGGGGCTTCTCCCGGCTTCTCCCGAAAAGCCGAGATAGTCCATGGTGGGTGCGTCTAGCTCATGCTTCCCGCTTTGTTTTCTTTCTCTCTGTCTCCCATCTAGCTCCGTCTCTCTGCTCATTCTCCTCCATCTGCACGGCTGTACGCTTCGCTTGAAGCCGCGACAGGCGCTGTGTTGGTGCTTGCCTTCGTCCTCATGGAGAAGAAGGAGTTGTTCTCGCAGCCGGTCGGCATGGATTCGTGCGAGTCTGTCACATCAACTTGTGCTGCATCTAGCTTCGCGCAGGTGCTCGGTGTCTTGACTTTCAGAAGTTATCGGGTATTGCAAGTTGATTTTGCTGTGGGTCGTACACCATCGGTCTTTGGAGATACCTACAGCTACAGCTCATGACCTTCCAAATTGATCGAGTCTGCAGCATTCTGCAGCCCGCATCCGATCCTTGTGCCTGCACAGCTCGCTTCAGGTTACACATGATTTCGTTGTACTGGGTGCTGTTCGCATCTTGGCAAATTTGGCTTAATCCCGTGGACGTGGTGTGCATGGGGTAATGGTACTGTCGGTCGGCACTAGTCGCAGCGGTCGGCAAGAACTTCGTAATGCTTAGCTTAGTGGCTTAGTGGCATCATGCCCGATCTTTTGTTGCATTCGCTATGTCCAACCGTCTGCCTTGTGCAGTCAGCCTCTGTCTGAGTAGTGAGGAGCTTATCAGATTTTGGTGGCTTCTCGACTTCAGAAATTCCGGGAATCGTTGGGTTCATTCCTTTGTAGGCCTCTCTGTCTTGAGCAAGCTGGCAGTGTCCGTCTTGCCGAAAAGTCGACACAAAGTTTACCTTCCCATGTGGGCTTTCGTGGCTTCCAAGCCTACCACGAGGCCTGCGCTCGGCCAAAGCATGGCAGGAGTTCAAAAGAGGCAATCGAAGGATGGACTTGCAGTCCCACATCCTCGGCCAGCTAAGCCTCTGAAGCCAAGGTGACTGCGCTGATTCTTCCCAGGCAGCATGAGCATGTTGACGCATTGGCTCGATTCTGGGTCTGCAGGGTCTTCTTTCTCATCCAACGGCCCACTCACCTTGGTGTGAGCAGGTCTGCTTTGATCCTTCACTCCTGGCTCGCCTGTCAGAGACTGGCACGGCGAACCGTTTCGCAGCGGCTTACCTGTGAAAATGGTGCAAGAATTTCTCGCAATTAAAGGTGAGACTGTATTTGCGAGTTGGAGTGGGTGATTCTTGGGCCCCAGTTCGCCAGATCTTGTAGCTGCCTTTCCCCACTCCCTCACACACACGCGCACAAGAGCACCCATTTTCGGCTAGAAACCTGGGCCGCTGGCGCCACAAGGAAACGCAAGCGCTACTGTAGCGATGGCTTCGATCTGGATCCTCGGCAGGGAAGAGAATAATCTTGCTGCATCCACTCTGATTCAAGAGCAATGCTTCAGTGGTTGCAGATCTCTGGCAGCTATGCAAGGCTCTTCTTGTAGCTTCCTTTCTGGTTCCCCAATCTCTGTGATTTACTGCAACTCAGGCGGCAGAAGCATCACAGATACTGAGACTCGGAATTTTAAGGACCTGAGCTACATCTCTGAAAGGATCCTTGCCATGAGTTTCCCGGCGCAGGATCTGGAGGCCAAGCACTGGGAGTGCCTGGGCTTGTCATGTTCCAATGTTTCCAGCGCTGGAGCCCCTGGAAGGCGAGATTCCGTAATCCTCTTCCAGAGGCCTGAGAAGTCTGCGTCTGCACCTAAAGAACAGGACGGACATCCGGTGACGGCAACATGGATTCTTCCGGATCTTCTCATTCAAGCTGAATTCTCCTTCATCTTCTGAGTATGGAGGTGCGCAGCTTCTTGAACCAGCATCATCCTGATCACAGGGTGCCTTGCTTGAAAGTGTTGCAGTCGCCGACAACCACCATGTTTGTCCAGTCTGTCGGGTGGGGTCCCCCACGGAGGTGTACAACCTGTGCCGGGAACCCGACCGGAGGCTCGTCAGCCGGAGTTGCGAGTAATTGCCTTATTGGCCCGTTCGCCGTTGCCCGGCAGGTACGATGAGAAGAGCTTTCATGAGGTCTCGACCAGGCCAGCGGAACGGAAGGGGAGGGAACTTGACATCCTGGGCAGCACAGTCACAGTTGCAGGATTTGCTTCTACGACCACACGCCTTGCCCCTTGGAGCAGCTGCTTGAGCTTGTCGAAGACCAGCACAGGCAGCTTGGGCTGAGAATGAGTCTAAGTCTGAGACGCGATGTGGGAGCGGTCCTGCCAGGTACTTGTCTTCAGACACAAGCCACGTTGTGGTAATCCACTGCAAGGCAACTCTTCTTGCGAAAAGAGCTGAGTCTCCGCGCAATTTGTTTCCTGTCCTTCGCATGATCGCAGGCCGGCAAAGGCCGAACGGGCCTGGTGTGCACATGCCTGCTTTTGAGAGAAGGCCGGTCTTAGCACTTCTCATACGACTCATACGTGGCGCATGAGGCGCCAGCACTGAAGCTTCGATTTGCCGTCCAGGGCATAGGCATGAAAGACCTCCGAGTCTGAGTATAGTCGACTCTTAGGGCAACTGGGACAATCGAGACCGCTTTCATGTTCTCTTCGGCCTCATGACCTGAACTGCTCTGTATTTGTGCGTGTGACGCTGTGTGCGTCTGTCTGGCTTTGTGCAACGAAGACTGTGTGCCCCTGCGTCTGTGGAACAGGTTTGGAGATGACTGCCAGCGAGGCTGAGCACGGACTTGTGTGTTCAAGAGCCCAAGTTGCGTGATTCTGGTGCCCGTGGACAACTCGCACGAAGTGAACCACTCAAGCAGATTGCGTGCAACAGTGACGTCCGCAGCGGGCACATTCATGCACATTCACCCGCCTGAATGCAGGCTCTCTCCACCTATGCGGATCGCCGCACACACAACCACAAGGGCGTCACCATCCCGAGCCAGATACGGAACCTCGAAAGCGTCAGACATTGTGATGGTTTGGGTCCGGTTGTTGAAAGGTGCAACGCCTGAGAAAAGAACAGCGAATTGCCGAGCTCCGTGATGGGCCAGACCTGTTCCTTAAAATCTTGCTTTGCTTCTCCAGCAAGGTATGTGCAGTACTACGAGCAGTGTCTCCGGGAGCGATGCCTGCGAAAGTGGGAGAAGGTCTACCTTGAGAGGGTTTCGCGGCAAGAAGACTTGTCCGGAGGCTGTCGTGTTTGCGCTTCTTCCTGAGGTTCCGAATGCTGACACGCTCACATACTTGATGCAGCAATCTGCTCAGGTGTGCCTTGAAAACATCGTTTCTCCGGGGAGGTGCAGCAGATGCTCGATACAGGAGACCCGGCGTCTGCACGGCTCTTTGAGGGAATGAAGCCCTGACTCCATCCTGTGTGAACAGCCGCCCCACAGAGGTGGCAATAGAAACCACCAGGTAGTGCAGTTACTGTTATTCCTGTCACGCCAGTCACTACAACTCGCAGTCTTACTCTTTTCGAAAGCCATGCTCTGTGAGTAAATCTATTCGCACTATGTGCTATCTCTCGCACAGTAATTCAGACCACAGCCTCACAGGTGCAGGTCTTCGATGTGGACCGGCGACTGCTATTGCAGTCGGCCTGGACGGCGCTTTCAGAAAGCATCGAAGACGAGGTCAGAACCTGCTGATGATGCATAGTCAGGCGTCGAGAAAAGTTTACATTTCGAATCCAGAATGTCTTTTTCCGAGATACACGTAAATACACACCTACACACATATACGCATACGTACGTACGTACATACAGACATATATAGATATAGATATCGATCCAGATATAGATTTGGCTTTACGTATCGATGCAGATGGAGATGCAGGACTAGGCTGACATACATATGTAGACATAGAGGATGGAGTGTGTGACGGAATACAGGCCCCTGTTTTCTCCGCATGCTATGGGATGAGTATGTGTAAAGCACAGGCATTTTTGGGGTTCAATTTTGCAGACCACAGTCTCTTCCTTTTGGGGAGTGGGGTGTGTGGTTGGCCAGCCATCATCTTCCGTTGGTCATATTCCACTTCACTAGGCCACTAGGCTTGCTTGCTTGAGGTTTCGGGAACCAACAGTTACCCTGACCCCTCTTTCAGGTTTCAGGGTTCGAGCTTACGGAGCTTCATCCTGCTTTGCAGCCTTCAGGGTTGCAGGTTGCAATCCACCATGTAGATGTTTTCGGTTCAGGCTTGACCGCCCATCATCTCATGGGTTGATGGACGACGAGTTGTCATCAACTTAACGTGTACGTCCAGTGTTAGGGTTTAGAGTTTGGTGTTTTAGGGGGCGTTTGCTGCCCATCATACGAAGTTGGGGCTTCGGTTCTGGCATTCTCGGGTTTGCGGCTGGACATGTATGTTTCATCTCCTTTAGAGTTCGCGGGCGGTTCATGTTTCAACATTTTTTACAAGGTTTGTGTTTCAAGAGCCATTTAGGCTGCAGGGTTCCGCTTTGGTGCTTTGGGTTGGTCGCCGACGTTTCACGCGGTGGGTAAGTGCCAATGCCGAGGTTTTCGACGATGGTCTCCCGATGCGTGGGGGGTGGCCGATGCCGGGGTTTGTTTTCCACCCTTGTCTCCCCTTGTCCTCGGCTTCTGGGACAATCTCCCGGTCTGTTCTTGCCGTGCATGACCAGGATTCACCGGTGAGGCAACCGAAACAGGCACCGTCTCTGAAGCAGTTGCTCCTACAGACCTCGTCGTGGTTCTCCTGGCGGGCACCCGCGACCAAGAAGAAGGAACTTCTGGCCTGATTGGTCCAGCCTGACCTGGTGCCGCCTGCCACCCTAGGACCACCAGGAGGTACTCGAAGTCCTGCTACGGGTGGGGGCTTCTCTGCGCTTGTCTCCTGTTGTCTGCCCTAATGTGGGCTCTGAAAGTCGGAACGAGGTGCTGCTTTCTGGTTTGGCTTCAACTCTCGGTGGTCTTCGGGTGGTGCTATTGAAGGTTTAGGTTTTGACCCGCTTCTGTGTTTTGGTTTGCCGCGAATGATCGTCACCCTGATGATGATGGTGATGATCCAGTAAGTGTGATGATTTGTCATCTCCTAGTAGGGTTGTGGGAATCAGCCCCCCTGTTAGGGCTTAGCCCATTATCTTGGTTTCAACCACTTAACTTTGGTGTTTCGGGTGTCCCACACGCCGACCTCTTCTTAGAGTTACTGGTGCTTGAGAACCACTTTAAGTTTCTCAGTTTGCTATCCCGGCTTGAGTGCTCGTGAGGGTTTGGGGTTTGGCACCCGGTTTCGAGGGACTAACATCTGGAGGTAAAGTTTAGGTTCTTTCAAAGCCGGATTCAGGGTTTCATGCCTTGTTTCGTGTTTGAAAGTGCCCTGGGATCTGTAATCCTCTTTGGTTGAAGCTCTGAGCCTTGCGAGGACAGCCACTCAGAGGCGGAGTCAAGCCACCTCCAAGACGGTTTTCTGGTGCCCAGACAGCACACAAAATGTTGTGTTGCTTGGCAACTTGCTGCTTGAAGATATGGTGTAGATGTACAGAGCCAGATGAATGGACATATAGAGGTAGATTGATCGATGGGTAGGGAGCAGGCTCAACGAGGCTATTGTGCTGACATCGTGCTACCTTGTGCTTGATTCGAGAATTTCGAGAAGAAGGGGCAGAGGCGGCGACTTCTTTGCTCAACACTTCCTGACTTTGGAGTGGGGGGATTGCAGATTCCAAGATATGTGACAACTTGCAAACATGACGTATATGTGCTTCGTGGCCGGTGTTTCTGGCATGCAGCAAGTGGACATTTGGGAGTTTCCGAAAAAAGGGGTACCCTATTTTAGGGTCCATATAATAAGGATCCTAACTATATTAGGGTCCCCTATTTTCGGAAGCCCCCACTTGGGCCATAGGGTCGGAGAAGCCCAAAGCACCAGGTCCTGGAGCTGGACGGGCCGGAGCTCCCTGCAGACTTGCACTTGATCCTGAGCGGCTCGAAGCAAACACCGAAGGTGAAATCATCCTCAGTCACCGCAGATTTCACGAGCACCAAGGCTGCAAGGCATCTGCGAAAAAAGTCGTCTCAGCAACTCTAAGGAGCACGTTGGGAGGAGTTCTGCGGCTGCAGTCGCGCCGAAACGGCCTTTCGCCTCAAAATGTCGGTTTTCTCGAGAGCGCGAGTGGGATCAGACAGTCTGAGTTACTGCTTTCCATGTGCGGTTTTGTTAGGTTAACGCGCTGGTGATTCCTGGCAGGTGAAACTCTGCTCTTTCTGGCTGAATACCGGCTACGTCACGGGGGAGATGCGGCTGCAGATGTCCGAGCTAGATGTCGCGAAACCCGCACCGCAGCTGGTCTCGAAAGAGAGGTCCACAGCCGTACGAGTTGTGTTTGCTGTCTTGGGGCTTTGGCAGCCAAGCCAAGGCCGGGCCTCGATGACTATTCCGTGATCTGCTGCTTCCATTGCTGCAACCCGACGCAAGTTCCCTTCCCAGAGCTACAGTTAGCCGGGGCGGAGGTGGCCGGGGCCTCCTCTGTCACTGGCAAGGCGAGTCCTAGCCTCCGAAACTTATCCACAGCCGAACCGCTGTCTTTCGGGAGCCGAAGCCCGATAGTTTAAAGTCTTGCCAGGCAAAGACCCTGGCAGAAACTGCTTCCGTGATTGCTAGCGGAACACAGCGTTAGCGCTAGGTGCTTCCGCAATCTGCTCACCTTGCTCTCGTGCCGAGACAGTGAACAGGTTTTTCGGCATAGCGGAAGAGTTCAGCTCACCGGCTGCAACAAAAAGGAAGTCCATCTAGGTTGCATTTGCGCCAGTCGATATCACTGGATGAGCCATGCACGGCATCCGCTGTTTGTGCCTGCCTTTCCGTGACTTCAGCTCAGGCCAAGACTCCTTTCTACGAAGTTACAGAAGAGGAGTTCGAGAGGCGAGTTGAGTGGCCACGAACGAACCCAATGCTTGTCACCCAAAGGCGGAAAATGGAGCCAAGGCCAAGATAAAGCCGAGCGCAGCAATAGACGTCGCTTTTTGCACCATGCCCCAAGTGTGCATCAGACTTCAGGAAAATGATGAGCCCCCGGGCGATAATGTAAGCCAACTTCACTCATCAGTTGCCTACCACGTTCTGTGTGCTTTAAGCAGCCGAGCTTTGACGCAGCGGTCTATGCTGCTCAGACATCGTGCTTGAGCGATTGGCTTTGACTTCAGTGCAACAATTGCAACTTTCACCATGACAGTCTCTCAGAGCTTCTAAGTTCTAAAGTCGTCATGTGGCGTCACAAAGCCGAGTCACACACGGTCACACGCCTGACCTGTTTCACAGGCGTGTCCAATGCGTGCGGCGATGTGTCATCAAACGCAAAGCAGCAGTTTCTTCCACCTTGAAGTCGACCCATGCATGGTGAGTGGTCTGGTCGGGGTGTTTTTTGACCTGTCGTCATGTATCCGTTTCTGCAACATGTAGAAGTGAGCAGTACAGATTAGAACAAAGGTTGGCTCGTATCGTTGACACAAAGAAGCTCCATCGCATCAGGCTTTGGCTTTCGGGTGCCGTCGATGGTGCCAGCGAGGCGGGCAGCCTTGGTGCGGTTGGCTGGGGAGCTCTCCTGAGTAATTCAAGTTGGCCGAAGTATAAGTAGGGAGTCACAAATTCCGTAGTCATATTGTGAGCCGTCTTGCATTCTTTCTGTCTGTACAGTCTAAACATAGGTATGCACACGTGTGAGTGCGTGAAGTAGGTGCTTGTGCATACGACTGTATCATCGTGCATGCAGAATGCCTATGTCGACATACATGTGCATGCACGTTTATTGCAGCTGTCCCTCGGTCCGTCCGTCGGTTTGTCCGTCTGTCCGTCCGTCTGTCTGTCTGGCTGGCTGGCTTTGCTGGCTGTCTGTCTGGCTGTCTGCATGTCTGCACGAAAGTAGGTTGGTAGGCACGCAGGCAGGCAGGTAGAGAGGTAGTCTTGGTGCGGGTCATGCGTCGTAACCATGCATGCCTGTACGCAAGCATACATGTGTGCCTGCGCGTACCTGAGTAAGCAAGTGATTAACTGCATCTATCATATGTCGTAAGCATGCATGCACGTTTGCAAGCATTCGTGTGTGCAATGTCTTTGCCTAAGTAAGCAAGTAATTGTTCATATCATGCTCTGTAAGCATGCTTGCATGTATGCAAGCAGCATGTATGTGTTTGCCCGAGCAAGCAGACAAGTATGTATATATGATTTAAGTAAGTATGCCATGGAAATATGTGAGTAGGTGAGTGTGTAGGTATGTGTGTCTCTATTATGGCGGTGATTAATACGTAGTATGAATATGTGGGAGGTTGGGTGTTTGTGTGGGTGAGCGTGCGGGTGCATGGATGGGTGGCTGGCTGGATGGATGGATGGACGGACGGATGGATGGATGGATGGATGGATGCACGAAGGTGTGTGTGTGTGTGTGGGTATATATATATATAATATAATATATATATATATATATATATATTATTATTATTATATATTATATGTATACACATACACAAACGCGCTCGACATTTACACGAGCTCGCACCATAATCCAATCAGGCTCTCTTTGAACGGAATGGATCATAGAGGTTGGCACACTTTCAGCCTGCAAAAACCATCGGCAGGGATCAAACATCCTCATGCTTCCTGAAACTTGACATGCAAAAACATCGGCAGGGATCAATTTCCACCCACAGATTCCCAAAATCTCGATAATTTGGGGGAAGTTTGATGCCTGCCGATGTGTTTGCTGTGTTCGCATGTCAGGCTTTGGGAATTTTCACGTCTCTCGAGCTTCGCAGCATTTGGACAACCTCGTATCTATCTATCTACACACACATATATATATATATATATACACAAGCACACATCACGCTTTTTTTTTTCACGCTTTTGGGGCTTAGACTCCAAGCGGTCGCGGCCCATAGGGGGCACCGAATTAAGTGAAACAAGGACTAAGGGCCGGGCTCACTCGCTATTGCACAAAATGTCCCCTCTACTCGATTCCTGCAGGCTCAAGCTCGGGATCTCAAACAATTGAGAGAGAAAGGGGCGAGAGCAATTGGGGAAGAGGAGGCAAGCGGGGACTCCACGGGCCCAAAGTCGAAGGGCAAATCGGACGAGATCACCCTGGAGGGTCATGAGGAGTAGTTGGCGATGAAAGGTGGCCGGCGGCACCTGGATCGGCGGGCAGTCGCGGAAGCCATTCCAGTCGCTGAGACACAATTCAAAAGCTACATCCTCAAAAGGACCATCCATGAAGGAGAGAGACTCCCCCTGCTGCAAAGAGGCGACGCACTCCGAAAAGGGAAATACGACCCTTCTCTGGTCATTCAGGGTCGCACACCAATCATCAGGGCCGACTGAGACAGTAGTCTGCTCGCAAGACGGAGGCAGTGGTCTCGGTAGGCGGATAGCTGCGACTTCAAGGGCATCAAGCACAAGAGCTCCATCCCGGAAGGTGCATACCGAGTCAGGGGTAGGATCAGACGCAGGGACGATCCATTCAACAAGGTCAGCGGTAGGTACCCATTCCAACACTCGCCGCAAGGGCGTCGCAATATCCCGTCGGAGGCGGGGGAGTTCTGTTTCGAGAAAAGTCTGGGCCGTGATGCGAAGTCGCCGTGTAGTGGTGCAGACACTTGCAAATGCCAGTCGGGTCTGTTCCCATATGGCGGGCTCATTTGTAGGATCAACATCAGTACCAACCCATCGAAGGCAGTCCAGAATTTCAGCAACAGGGCGGTCAATCTCATCAATCCATTCCGTGGAATCCAAAGGGAGGGTGGGCCCGGCGGCTTGGAGGACGGGAGTTTGACATCGCCCGGCATCCTCTCCTTTGGTACTGCCTTGTCCGGGTTCGATCGGCGTGTGGTGCCCTGTAACCTGTAGGCTTTTACGGCATGAGGTGCTGTAGGCCAGATGTTTGCACAATTTCAGATTGGTCGCAAAGTGTCTAAGACACTTTTGGCATTGACGACCACTAAGGACACCTCGGCCAACTGTGCATCGACCATGAGTCTTAAATGCATGAACAGACCAGGCCTGAAGGCAGGGGAAGGTCTGTCGGCACGGTCCACAACACTCACGAGCATCCCAGGCATCGAGTGTGGGCTCAAGGAGAATTCCTCCGGCCGCCCTAAGCTGCCTGGCGAGGAGTCCCTGGTGGTATGTCCCCGCTGACTGCCAGGCTTCCCGCCGAATAGCCCGCTGCTGGGCTTTGCAAAGGAGCCTCTTCCAACGACCAGGATTGCGTTGAATGGTCTCCGCCCAGCGGGGCCAGAGACGGCACTGGTCACAAGGGACACGGTCTCCCTCGGTGAGCTCTCCCAGCCATTGGAGAGATGAGCAAGCCGCAGAGAGCCACGTCTGTTCCGCATGGAGGAGGGCCCATAACTCCGGTATCGGATCCGTGACACAGGAAGCGAGGTGCCTGAGGCGCGAGAGGTGAAGCTGTGTACCGATGGTAGGGAGGCCAGTGAGAGCGTAGACACGGAGCGGCCCTAGTCTTCGGGCTTGCATGACATCGTATGCTGGTTTCAGCAAACTGCATGCCATCTGGAAGTAGGCGGTAGACAAGCATTTCTCTTCAGCATCGCTCAAGGTCGGCCATGTGCCAGCACCATACAGTAAGATGGAAAGCACAAGGGACTCGAATAGAACGACCTTATCTGAGACTGAGACAAAGCGCGATGCAAAGATGCGCTTCCGTCTCTTATTAAAGGCACCCCATGCCATGGCAACCCTGCTGCGCAGCTCGCGAAGAAGTGCCCCGGTATGATGGAGCAGTCCGCCGAGATGGCGATAACATGGAACCAGTTGAACAGTAGCCCCTGGCCAGAGACGGCTGGCGGCAGGGAGGGTAGGAGGGTCATTGCGGAAAAGCTGAGTGCGAATGAGCTGGGATCCTCTCCCAACGACTGCTATGATCGCTTCTGTTTTGCCACGGTCGAGGTTTGGCAAAAGAGCCCGCCCGAGGCAGCCGTCCAGGAGGATCCCTAACGTTTTGCTGACCTTCGGGGGGAGGTCGGTCGCCTCATTAGCGTGAAGGACGAGAGCAGTGTCATCCATCCAGGTGCTGTCGAGGATGGATAGTTGGCTGCCGGTGGACGAGGGGGAGTGCCAAGGATTGGCTAACATATCCTCGCCCCACGGGACAGTGGTAAGACCGACCTCTTTGCCAACACGATCTCGCACTTGATGCAACACCCTAGCGAAGACAAAACTAAAGACGATATCGGCCAGGTTATCGCCTGGCCGGGTTCCGATACCGGTTTCTGTAACGGTTTCGTGGTGCTCGAAGCGGAACCACGTATGGCTCAGAGCTTCTGAGGTTGCTGCCGACAGCCATGGGGAGGCACCAGCTGCCTCGAAGAGAGTCTGAGACTCTAAATATGCATGGAGTTCGTGCATGACCTCGGGGGGGAGATGCACCTCCTTAACAATGGCAGCTATTTCAGTGTCAGACCCACTAAAACCCACAACTAGCGGCCTCATAATTCGATAAAAGGCTTCACGAAGATCGAGGAAAATGATTCCTAATGACCATCCACGATCCTTGGCTAGCTGCTGGAAAACTCTCACAACGTGCGATGCCATGGTAACTGGCCTCTTGGGCAGGCCCCCAAGCTGAAAAGCCGTGGCGGCATTGGTTAAGGCAGGAACATTTTTCTGGCGCAGGATTTTATGGTAGGCCTTCCCTATGACAGAGGAAACCAGGATTCCTCGATGGGAGGAACATAGTTGTGGCGCAGCCTTGCCTTTCCACACGGCGTACAAGGAGCCGCCCTTCCAGTGAAGGGGTTCTTCGACTCTCATTGCACACTTAAGGACCAAGGAGTAGAGCGCTTTTGCGGCAGGGCCTGGGGCGGCATGCACGGCTTCGGCAGGGATGCTATCGGTGCCAAACGCGCGATGTAGTTGCGTGCCTCGAAATGCAGCTTCGAGATCACATCGCGTAGGCACATCTTCTGCTGTGATGGCCAGACACTCAAGGTCCCGTTGCTGCTGGGTATCAATGCAGGCACGCGCTAAGGCCTGTGGGGTGCGGCGTTTACCTCCCTCAATGCCCGAAAAGTGATCAATCCAGGTATCCACAATTTCGGTGGGGGTGTGGGCAGCAGTGCCATCGGGCCGCTGTAGCTTGGGGAGGCCGCGTGCCGTCCTGTGCTGGCGTTTAGAGGGCCCCATTAGGCATTGCAGGCGAGAGACAACATGTCCGGTGGGTTGGACGGCTGCGTCAGCAGCGGTGTCAGAAATGCGTCTACTCACATCCGCACGCACCGCCTTGCGTAGCTCCTTCTTGGTGTCCGCTAGGGCTCGGACATGCTGACTAAGGAGAATAAGGGGTCGTCCGTACTGTAAGAGGGCGACAATGCGGCCAACAAGGGGGCGGCAGCCCTTTGTCCATGTGTGCCATGCGCTGTGTAATGTGAGTCCTGCCGTCCGCCGTCGCCAGAAGACGACCTGTCGGCGGAGCCACACGCGGCGCTGTCTCAGTTGCCAGGTCTGTGGGCTGAAGTGCGAGGAGCGACATGCTCCTTTAACCGAAGGGAAAGC